CACAGAAAATGAGAAACTTGGATTTACAACCTTGAATCAGAACTCAAAGCCATTTGATGACTTAACAGAGTCAAGTCCCTTAAGCACAGCTGGCTTCCAGGTCCTCCACCACCATCACCACCCGCCCCATCCCCAACTCATTTTACATAATAAGGAACAGTAGGTTATCTGGCTTCATTAAACATTGTCATTTCATGACACAAATGTGAAATTTGAACGTTTTGTGAATGTCTTGAAAAATCGAAGCTTGCACTCATCTCAGGTCTAATGCCAGCTCATCTGGATGTTGATAAAGGATTGTGTCTCTCGGGCCAGAGTGAGTTCAAAGGCCAGGCGGGGTTGCTTTGCCAAGAGCTAAAAATCTCAAAAAGTATAAGGGGCTGTAGACATAGCTCGGTAGTATAGCATCTGCCTTTGTCCTAGGTTAGCAACTAAACAAGGCAGATGTCATGGATTCAGTGTCTTATGCTCTCTGGCATCTGGTCCTCAGTTGGCTGTTTGGGAACGATTATGTGTGGTCTTGCTGGAGGAAGTATGTCACTCTGGGCATGTTGCAGAAGACTAGCCATTCCCAGTGTGTCTCTGCCTCCTCCTTGGGTTCCAGATGAGTGCTCAGAACCTGTCCTTGATGCCATCGTGACTCTGACCCTCTGTAGCTGAGCCCAATTAAATGATGTTTTGCTTTGTTTTTTGAGACAGGGTTTTTCTGTAGCTTTGGAACCTGTCCTGGAACTCCCTCTGTAGACCAGGCTGGTCTGAACTCACAGAGATCTGCCTGCCTCTGCCTCCTGAGTACTGGGATCAAAGGCAAGTGCCACCACCGCGGGGCTTAAATGATTTATAAGTTGCCTTGGTCATGGTGTTTTATCCCAGCAAAAGGAACTAATATAGCAGATATCTTCAAAGTAACCATTTTATTTTAATTTTGTGTCACCAGTTGGGCACACACAGAGGCATTTTCAGACTACATGTGTGTTCCTGTCTAAAGATGTGTGAACTCTTTAGAGAGAGTGTGCTTCTGAATGGCCAGGCTCCTCCCATATGACTATAGACTCTCTGAACGAAATCCCCAGTGCTTGTGGAGTTTGTGGAGAGCTTTGCTTTGGTAATGGCTCCCATGCTCTTCCTTCCTACCCAGTACAGGTTGCAAACCTTTGTAGTTTTCATCTTGGCTGTGCTTATTTTGGTTTCACAACCAACAGAACATTTTGTTACAGGTTTGGTAATTTTCAGGGTTCTAGACTAGAATCACTCTGGACTTTCACTCATATCCTGGACCCAACCCATTAGTAAGTCCCAATTCTACTTTCAGAATATATCTTGACTCTTCCAATCCCACCATCACCTGGCCAGTCTTCCCTGGGTGACTGCAAAGCCCCATCCGCTCCCTCGGCATCTATCTTGCCTCTCTTGGGAATTTTTTTTTTTTTTTTTTTTTGGTTTTTCGAAAAAGGGTTTCTCTGGGGCTTTGGGGACTGTCCTGGAACTAGCTCTTATAGACCAGGCTGGTCTCGAACTCACAGGGATCCACCTGCCTCTGCCTCCCGAGTGCTGGGATTAAAGGCGTGCACCACCAACGCCCGGACATCTCTTGGGAATTCTTAATACAGTATTTAAGCACAGTAGATTGTACCAAACCCTCAGGAACCTCCTGTGGCTCACCACAGAGCAAACAAAAGAAGCACCATTTCTCTTAAGTGTGTGTCACTTTTGCAAAATCCTAAATCAAACCACAAGTCAGGGGCCACCTTGTACATTTTTTTGCATGGCTGATTCCTTTGCCTTCTTTGAATCTTGGCTTAAGTTCACTTACCAGTGAAATTTTTCCTGACCACTGTTAAAAATATCAAGCCTGAGCTGAGCGGAGTGGGCGCACATCTGTAATCCCATCAAGCATAAGGCTGACCAGGAGGACCTGGATTGGAGACTAACCTAGGCTACACAGCAAGATGCTGGCTCAAAAAAAGAAGTAATTCTAGGGTTGGGGAGAGCTAAGTGGTAGAGAGTGTTTGCCTAGCATGGATGCTGCCCCAGATTTGATGATCCCCAGTGCTGCAACCCACCCTGAATCCGGCATCATTCTCACTGCTTCTATACTTACTACATTATCCCCAATAGGTACAGTTTTACCTATCTGCTTGTTACCCAATACTCTCTCCATATAGCCCACTCTCCATGTCTGAGCAGTAGAGGGACCGGAGCTCTTAGGATCACTGTCCCATCTCATGTACTTTGAGCAGCTGCTGTCACTTGGTAGATCCACAATACTTTGTGAACAAGTGAATTAACAATGAAATGAAAAAAAAAAAACCCTGTTATCAATATTAGAAATATACTTGAGATAATAATCTACAACTTTATTATTAATGATTCCTGTCTAAATTCAAATTATGAAGCAGTTTTATAATGTTTTAAAATCATTTAGTGAGTAATGATGTTAACACATTAAAGAACACTGTTACCTCTTCCTAAGAGCCTCAGGGAACTATCCCTTTCCTGTCAAACCAAAAGGTTCGGCTGCTGTATGAATGCTATAGGAGGTGCTGGGAGTGAATCCCTGATCTTAGGCACACTAGGCAAACACTGAGCCACACACTTAACACAAAAGCTCCTTAACAGACTATCAGGGTACACCATGCTTGGATGTAGAATTTCTGTGGAATTTCTGGCAAAGAAATGCAAATGTTTCTTCTTGTTCCAGATCTGCATAGCTACTTTCAAGGTTGTCTTTCTTGTTGTTTAGCAAGGTCCTGCAAATGTGTTTAAGATCAACATGAGGACTGCCTTTTATATAGCCTTGCTTGACACTTTAACATAAAAATGTCAAAGCAGCCTGGGCTGCATAGTGACAGCTTCTTGAAAACAAAAGCAAAAGAAAAATAAAGCACAGTCTGATTGATTTTGCAATATAAATACCAAATCCTCAAGCTATAATATCTACTTAAAAAAGAAAGGCATAGTGGCAAACCTCTGTATTGGGGAATATTACTTTAAGGTGTTTGACTTTTGCTGATGCTGCATTTGCTTAACTCTGTGAAGCTGTTTTAGTTTGCCTGCCTAACATACCCGATTGGTCTAATGAAGAGATGGATGGCCAGTAGCAAGGCAAGAGCAAGAATAGGTGGAGCTGGCAGGCAGAGAGTATAAATAACTAAGAATAATAAGCCTCCATGTGTGATTTATTTTGAAGCTGGGTATTGGGCCCCCCAAAGAGCCAAAAAAGTAAAACATTCCCCCCCAGAATCCCAACACTCACAAAGTAGAAGACAGTGACAGCTGGAGGCCCTTCTAGGTGCTCACTAGCTCCTCCAGGATAGCTTTAAAGAAAATGGTTAGACACTCTGAAAAACAAACAAAAAATCAAAACCAAAACAAGAGTGTAGGCAGAGAGGAGACACACTGCTTTTAAAGCAGCACCTGGGATATAAGCTCTGCCCTACGTATCCCAGAAAAGGACCAAGACACAACATACTCAGCTCAAAAAGTGACATTTAAAAAAATGATTTTTAGTATGGATTGAAAACACCAGAAATGCTATTTCATATTAAACTATCCAGTATTCAAGCCACATTTTTTTGTCTTAACAAAAAAAGAAAAATGTCTTATTTAGAAATTTGTGTTTTAGTCTTTTGAGGCACAATCTCACGGTGAAAGACCCCAACTCAAGCCTAGCCTGATACCCATCAGCATGTATTTGAAAATCACTCTGGCCATACACAGCTCTGGGACAAAGAACACATGAAATCTTGGTCATGATGCCCAGTCTCTGGAAACTGTTATTATTACTAGTTTCTATTATCTTCAACAATTGTCTGATTTCTAAAAATTGTTATGGGTTACCCTGCTCCAGAGCACCCAAGTTTTGAAAATAAGTATAAGTCACTCTGTTCCCAGAAAAACCACTAACTGTCCCATGGCCTTACAGCTGTAAAAACCAAAATAAGATTCCAAACCCCTGGTAGGCAAAATTGTAAGTTCAGTTCCCAACCAATAAGTAAATGACTCATGTATGTTATAGCCAATCAATATGTTGTCATACTCCTGCCTAGTGACCAAAAAGACATAAGAACTGCCTGCTTTGGAAACTCGGGGCTGTTCTCTTCCCAGGGAACGACCCCAACGAGTTGGAATAAAATCCTTTTGTTTTTGCATCGAACTTGTATCCTGTGAGTGACTCTGTGGGGTTCGTCTCCCAAGGTTGGACTGCACTTTTGGGTCCAACAGCCATAGGGTGGTCTTATTGCCTTAGACTTCTCAGTGTTGGAATCACTGTTGTGGCCAGCTAGAGAAATTTGTTTGTTTTGTTTATTTTTTTAAGACAGGGTCTCACTATGTAGCTCTGGTGGTCCTGGAACTCATAGTGTAGACCAGGTTGGCCTCAAAAGTGTTGAGACCAAAGGTGTGTGCCACTATGCCCAGAAAGAGAAATATTTTTAATATTGACAAATTACAACTTGAAAACTTTGTATGACATTTCTGCCCAAATAACATGAAGCATATATATCAAGATAATATGAGATTCTTATTCTTCCACTGATAAAAGGTTTTTACTCACAATGGAGCTTCAATACTTAAAACTAAATATATCATACCAGATGTAACTCAATGAATAACTAAAATAAAGACAGTCAATATGAAACTGAATTTTTTAAGAGTGAAGGATTACTCCTCAGTATACTAGAGCTTCAACATTAGTTTTTGAAAAGTATATATACAAAAGAAAAAACAGAAAACTTTTTTTATTTTGATTTTTTTTGAGACAGGGTTTCTCTATGTAGTTTTGTAGATCAGGCTAGCCTCAAACTCACAGAGATTCGCCTGCCTCTGCCTCCTGAGTGCTGGGATCAAAGGTATGGGTCACCACCACCCAGCCAGAAAACTTTTAAAAATAGATTTGCATGAATATATAAAAGACTAATATTAAGTGTAATTCTATGTATGTACATTGATATTTGAAGTTATACAAAAGGCTGAAAGGGATAGAAAAGGTTTCATTTTAATTGTTTTGAAGATGGTTTTATTGTAGCAATGTGCAGCTCTAATTAGAGAAAACATACAGCTGCATTACAGCACACAGAACCTTGCCGGCTTTAATCTGTTTCCATAATCAATTTCCGTTACCCATTTCTAATAATCATAAGCAATGATCTCAAAGTATATTATATATTAGGGTCACACAACATACAGAATTTCTGGAAAAAAACTGAGTTATGGCACCTTTTATTTATATTCATTTTCATTCCTAAAAAAATAAACTAGAGACATTTGTACAGTACAATAAACTAAAGATGTAATGCTACAGGGAAAACATACAACAGTCAAGAGCTTTCCACACGTTTCTCCCTTTAAAAAAGGATTTTAACCTAAATGCATGAATTCTAAGTTAGCTGGAAAAACGTGACACCCATTATTAGAATATGATTTATGTTTGCATTGGTATGTTTTCAGTTCCTTTCGTTCAGTTTTACCCAATAGCACAAAATACAAAGCAAATACAAGATTCCGAACATAGGAAAGAATAAAACATGTTTTTAGATACATTTATCCTAGTAGATTTCTGGTTTCCTTTAGAAAACAAAATCAAGAATTCCTTTTCCTGAGTCTCTTCAAGGCCACTTGATGTTGTGTGGTAATAACTTTAATTACATTTCCTCAAGACTTCTTCTAATAGCTTCTTCTAATTCCACATCTGCATTAAAAAACAGAATTTTAAAACACAGCAGACAACTAATCATGTGCTGCTTCTGAGTTTTATTAATACATTTCTTTCCGAGAAGCAGGGTCAGAGTGGATGAACGTACAGTGCAATGGAGTTCCTCGACAAAATCTGAGTATTTTGAAACATGAGAATCTGGATATGACCCCCAAGTCACCTTTACACACGAACTTAGTGTGCCAAGGGGCATGTAAGCTGTTTCTGTTCAGAGACGTAGAAACTCAGCAGACTCTAGCAGCACAGTGAACACCGTCATTTACTTCCTAAAAGATTCAGGATGATACATGTAAGAAACGAAACAGTGGGCTGCTTGGGGTGCTTAGGAGGTACTTGCCAAGCCAGACATATCTTTAAAGAAACAGAATCCAAATGAGGCAGCACCAGCCTTTAACACCAGCACTCGATAGGCAAAGGCAGGTGGAGCTCTGTGAGACCAGCAACAAGGGCTACGTGAGACACCACTCACCTGGTGGGGGGAGGGGAAAGAGTGGTAAAAATAGGCAGATCTCTGAGTTCAGGGCTAGCCTGGTCTACATAGCAAGTCCTTGGCTAGCCAAGGCTACAATGAGATCCTGTCTCAGAAAAACAAAAGGAGAAGATGACACAAGGGAAAAAAGGAGGGAGGGAGGGAGACAGAAACAGCAAGGTAATACTACTAAATGGCTGTTAAATTTACTTTCTATTTGTTAACTATACCTCAGCAAGGCTCAGGGAAAATTACCTTAGATTTGTAGCATTTGAGGCAGAATGAAGCTCTCAGCTACATGACATCTAAGAAGTAAGAGGGGTGAGGGTACACCTGTCATAAATGTCTGCTAAATTCATACCAGATGCCAGGGACAAGAATATAGTACTGGAGATAGGAGAAGATTCAGTGGTTAATATTCCTGTCACATAGGCATGAGGCTGTGAGTGGATCCCATAACACATGTAAAAGTTAGGCATGATGGTGTGAGCTTTGTAGCCCCAGCGCTGGGGTGGCAGAGACAGAATGACAGTGCAGCCAAAATGGCAAGCTCAGTTCAGATTCAGTGAGATACTCTATCTCAAAAACAAAACAAAAAAAAACAACCAACCAACCAACCAAAAAAACCCAACCAAAAAAAAAAAAAAAAAAAACCAAAACACCACTGCCAACAACAACAACAAAACAGAAGTGGAGTGTTAACCCCTGGCTTCCATACATGCACACACGAGTACACACATGCAATGCACACGGAGAGAATACAACAGTGAACAGGACAAGCATCCCTGGCTTCCAGGTCTTTCTCTATGCTCCCATTCAGAATGAGACTGAAATCTAGAAGGGTGTGTTTAGGAGTCAATTCATCAGCTTTTACTAACTTCTCACCAACATCTTTTCCCATCTGGACTTTGATGCACAAGCACTAGGGGCACCTGTAACAATTTTCCTGAAAGGGGAGCTCTGGTTTGTTACGTTGCCTGCAATTTAAAATACTAAAAAGCTAGTCTACACCATGCATTAAGTTATAGCTATACTTCAGGGATAGTGAGATACCTAAGATGAACTCAAAGAAGTGAGTTAAACACAAGAAAAGCTATGACACTTAGAAAAACACAGGTTATAAACTTTTATATAAATTTACAGTATTTAAGAGTGTGATATTAGTGATATAGAGTCAAAAAACAGCAGAGCCGCCTCAGACCTAGAACCGCACTGCATATAGGGGCACCTGATTACAACAAAGGCAACCTAGGAAAATATGCTCCTTTCAGTAAATGGAGGTAAATCAACTAATAGGCCATGTAGTAAAATAGAGATTTATCCCTATCTTAAGGAATATACAAAAACAATTTACTGATATACTATATAGCTAATTGTAACAGAAAAAAAAACAATGCAAGGAAATGTATTATTAATGATGTAAGGATAATTCCCAACATTATGGAAAAGGTCAATAATAGAACTGAATTACAACTACTTTTATTGCTGGGCGGTGGTGGCACATGCCTTTAATCCCAGCACACGGGAGACAGAGGCAGGTAGATCTCTGTGATTCAAGGCCAGCATGGTCTATAGAGCTGTTCCAGTACACCCAAGATTACACAGGAAACCTTGTCTCAAAAACAAAATAAAAAAAAAAAACAAGCAAACTACTTTTATCAATCAAAAGGCACCATGGCACTCCAAAGGATAAGACAATAGGATGACTGAAGCTTGGGAGTTTGAGATCAGCCTGAGCATACAGTGCAGTCCTGAGAAAAAACAAACAGGCAAGAGAGATGACTCCAGAGTTAGAAGTGTTTGTCACTCTCTCAGGACCTGGTCTTGGCTCCAAACACCCACATGATGGCTCACAACCATCCACAACTCCAGTTCTAGAGGTTCTGACACTTTCTTCTGACTTCCATGAGCATGAGCCATGTACATGATGCACATACATACATACATACATACATACATACATACATACATATATACATACAATAAAATAGATCTTAGAAAAGTAAAACAACAAACAAAACAAGATAGACCACATGGCACCATTCAATGTCAAAAAAGGCCAATCAAGGTCACAGAGTGGGAGAAAATATCTGCCATACACAAAACTAGTGGGGGGGAGAGATCTTTAACCCATAAGTATCAAACTAATCCAATAGAAAAGATGTTTGAAAGAGCATCAGGTATCTAGCTAGCAAACATTACTCATGAGGGGTAGAGATGGTATGCCTAGGAAGCACACTACAAAACAACAACAAAATAACTATACACACTATTAGTGATTTTTTAAAAAAGTAAATTAACTCCAAAAGGTGGAAAAAAATCCTCACCAGAAAAATGCCATTGCACAATTATTTGACTAAGATTAAAAGAACTGAGTGACCTAGGTGTGGTGGTTCACACCAAATACCCCACTCAGGAGACTGAGGCAGGTTCAAAGTTGACCAGGATTACATAATAAATTCCAAGCTTGCCTAGACTACAGTGTGAGACTCTGTTTCAAAAACAAAAACAAAAAAATCACTTCCATGATCAATAGTGAGGCTGTCTTATTATATAGAATTAGTAACAACTGACACAATCACATTAGAAAACGATATTGTAATACGTCAAGTTCAACCTCAGCAATTCCTGTCCTAGGTATATTTTCAGAAACAAGAGATAATACACTGAGAATCATGTACGGCATGAGAAAAAACACAGCTGAATCACTTCTATCAAAATATACAAAGAAATTAAATGTCTATTCAACAAGCAATCATTTAATGCCCAACACCATGCTAAGTTCTGACGGAGGAAAGAAATAAACATGATCTTATCATCAGGGAACTCAGCAGAGACGAGAATGTGGACAGAACTACTTCAAGGGTACTTGGTGTTGTATTATTCAGGCATCTGTACTGGCCTGTCCTTGGGGTTCTGACAGGATATGTCCTCAGCTGTGGCCACTAAGAGCACCACCTGTGTACATTCACTGTTCCCTTTTAGAAGGGCCCTGCCCACCTCCCATCCTCCTGTCTGTCTTTCTCACCCTCTCTCTGTCCATCCCTCTCTTTCTCTCGCTCTCTGCCCCTTTCCTCTCTCTTGCCGCTCCTGTCCCTGGAGGCCAGTACCCCCCTTTTTCCCCCCTTTTCTTAATTAAAAACCTCTCTGCTTGAACCCTGTTGCATGGCATCTTTCTCTCACACGGTGCTTTTCTTAAATTACAACACTTGGTACGGTACAGTCGAAGCTTTCTCAGACAGTAGCTATAGCCATAGCTTCAAAGAAATTCAGCTGTGTGTAGTGTAAACCTGTAATCTTAGTAATAGGGAGGCTGAGGCAGGAGATTATGAGTTCAAGGTTGCCTAAACAATATGGAAACCCCATCTCAGCAAAATAAAACCAGAAAACAAACTAGAAATGACATCTGAGCCACTTATTGTGTAGAGGAAAGGGGGTGCTTAAAGGAGAATGGAGAGAGGCCATATCCGTTCCTTTGCAGGGATAGATACACCGTGGACTCAATGCACACACAGATAGAACGCACCATCAGGAGAGATGAACAAACCACACTTCCACGGCCCTTGTGTGTTCTAGGAATGGACTTCATGTTGTCACTTCAAATGTAGTAAACAGCTTAAGGCATCTTCTTTTGGATCCTCTCATTTGTTAGGTTTTTGAAAGATGGTTTCATGTAACCCCATGAGCTTCCAAATCACTAGATAGTCAAGGATGGTCTCAAATGTCTGGTTCTCCTGTCTGCTTACCTGACGACAGATTGTACGCATGTCCTACCAGATCTGGTCTTCTGTGGCACAGTGGACAAGCACTTTACCAACTAACTGACCTATGTCCCCAGCGTGTTATTTGGAATTTTTAACAGTAATTCTTTCCCCAAACTAAGAACCATAAAAAATATTCCATCTCCGAACTATACAATACATTGCAAAAGTAACAAAATGGGGAGGTTTTAAAACATACTCACTTGCACACAATGCATAATTACCAGGTTAGCCAGAGCCCACAAAACTGAAGAATCCCAATATGTAGGTAGTTAAAATTTATAATTTTGACTGGTTTTTTCCTGGAATTAGTCTTGGGTTTTTGCATAAAGATTGCAAAAATGTGGATTCCTCTCAATGGTGTTTATCTTTCAGTGGTCCCAGTAAACTACTTGGCACTACTTTTTATATAAATTCAACTGAATTTTTTTCTCTGCCTAACTCATCATTATGTGACTGCTAAACACAGACTTAGACCTCAAAGATCATGTTGGGAAAACTTGTTGGGCAAGCCATTTGCTTCTAATTGGGTTGTAGATTTTCTGCCAATTTCGTTAGCCTGTGACTTGGCTAAAAAAAAAAAAAAAAGAAAAGAAGAAAAAAAAAGACCACAGTTCCAGTTAAATAAATAAATAAATAAATAAATAAATAAATAAATAAATAAATTCCACCGCCAAACTCAAATTCCCAAGCTCCTCCAGCATACAGCTATAGTAGACTCTTAAGAGACCAACTAAATGCTCAGGAAATAAATCTACTGGGCTGTTTCGCCTGTGTGTTTAGCCACATTTCCTCTCCTACCTTCCAGCCTCCACATTTCTGCCTGCCTCAGGGCCCACAATACTATTAACTAATGCAATGTAACTGAACACCGTTTTCCTTTCATTAACAGATACCACTATCCTTTCAACTTCACCACTGCAATCTGAAGTGTTTTCTAGATCTACTTACTATTCTTTCCTGATTATTAAATAACAGTCTATTATGGAAAAGTTAAAATTAAAAAACAGGTTAGACAAGGAATGGCACAAGGCCAAATCACACAAACAGCTCTCTAGTCTATGGAAGGAAAGAGTTTTTCATTGAAGGAAGAAAAGTGTGCGTCTATGCTGGTTTGAATGAAAATGGCCCCACAGTTCCATAGGGAGTAACACTATTAAGAGGTGTACCCTTGCTGGAGTAGGTGTGGCCTTGTTGGAAGAAGTCTATCACTGGTAGGTGGGCTTTGAGGTCTCAGATACTCAAGCCAGGCCCAGTGTTTTACTCTCTTCCTGTTGTTTGCCAATCTGGACATAGAACTTTCAGCTACCTCTCCAGCACTATGTCTCTATGTCCTGCCATGTTTCCTGCCATGATGACAATGGATTAAAGCCAGCCCCAATTAAATACAAGAATTGCCATTATCATGGTGTCTCTTCACAGAACTCAAAACCCAACTAAGACAGTTCTTAACACTTTATTTGCAAACTAGGCATTGGACTGGATTTGGCCAAATGGCCACAACGTGTTAATGTGCTCTCGTCTAGGTTTACTTTTCAGTCATCTTACGTAAGGAGAAAATCTTTTAAAAGAAGAACTATGGAGACAGTGAAGGCATAAGAAATTACAGACGACAACGACAACAACAACACACACTCATGTGTGGCAGGGATGAGCTCTTACCCTCTGTGGATCTGAGCTCCTCTACTGGAGTGCCTTTCACACCAGTGCTGTCATCACTGTCACATTCTGCAAGAGACAAATGCAAATACATTTCTGAAAACCTGTGTCCTATACTTCATATTCTCAAATAGTATCTCCCTTTCCTCTATGTTGTTATCAGATTAAAACAAACAAACCAGAATGTCACTCTGTAGCCAAGGCTGGCTTCAAATTTACAGCAATTCTCCTGCCCCAGGTGTGCACCACTATGCTTACCAAACAACAGTATTTTCAAAGACTTTTCTCATGCCAAGATTATTTATTAGTACCCCACTGCTAGCCCCGCAGGGATTGTTGTTAATGCTTACCTAGTAATATTAAAAATTGACAAAGTCTCCTATATTTTCAAATCCTAGGTACTAACCTTTATAGATAATAAAAAGCCTTAATTGACAACGATGCCACATGGCAAAAACTCACCTAATGTCACACAGGCTTTCATAACGAGCCTTAAGTTTCTATAAACTGCCATGATTAACCAGTTTTTAGAAAAATCACTTCTGGTATGATCAGTGTCCTCATTATTTATTTGGCTAATCACTTTTAATCAAAATTCAAATGGACATATATTAATGTATTAATATACAATTATCTGTAAGAAGACCTGCACATAAACAACATGAATATATCACAGGGACTGAATCACAGTCAAAATAACTAAACTAAGTAGTACTTGCTTTTGCAAAAATATAGAAAAACACTAAAAAATGTTCACAGTTGTCTATGAATAAAAATTAAATTTTTGTATTTTATTACATGTTTTTATTGCAGAAATTTTGCTACTTAAGCAAAATGCTTCAAATATTTCAAGCAGTAACTTTTCGTTTCATTTAGATTTTTTCTTTTTATTTTTTCTTGGTTTTTCAAGACAGGGTTCTTTTCGTCCCCTTGGCTATCTTGGAACTTTCCCTGTATATCAGGCTGGCCTCAAACTCAAGATATCCACCTGCCTCTGCCTCCCAAGTGCTGGGATTAAGGGCATGCACCCTCCACCCCTACCCCACCCCAGTCATTTCATTGAGTTTTAAAAACCAAGTTCAGCATCTAGAGTCTAGACATTAAACACACAGAGAGAAATAGCTGCTGAGATGGCTCAGCTGGTAAAGGTACTTGCCATCGAGCCTGACTACCTGATCCTGGGACCACATAGAAGAGGAAAACCATCTCTTGCATATTGTTCTTTCCTCTATAAGTGTGCAGTAGTATATGTATGTGCACAACCACAAGTAAATAAATAAATGTAATAAAGCCTATTTTATAAGAGAACAAAGGGAAAGAGAAAAAATATAAACAAAACCAATGAACAAAAAAACTACAAAAGAGCCGGGCGTTGGTGGCGCACGCCTTTAATCCCAGCACTAGGCAGACAGAGGCAGGCGGATCTCTGTGAGTTGGAGGCCAATCTGGTCTCCAGATCGAGTGCCAGGATAGGCTCCAAAGCTACACAGAGAAACTCTGTCTCGAAAAACAACAACCAAAAACTACAAAACAGTAAAAAAGAAAGTATCAATAGGTTTCCGTTACCATACTGTAAAGTGTAGGTCTCCCCAAAGCAACTTGTCCAAACTGACCACTTAAGTCTGAAAACATGCAACTGTTGGTTTTAACTGCATGCACAGAACACACAGGGCTGTAAGACTAAGAACAGGTTCTTTTGCCTCCACCAAGCCATGCACACAACTGAGAACATCACTGACATTCTATTTCTATTTCCTCTGCACCGATTAACTGTACTGTAAAGACTGGGAAGCAATAGGCAGATTGGCTTTGTTTTAATTCAAAAATTACTTAACATAATGCCTATTCTATAATCACAGCACAGGTAAACTTTTATATCCACTTTTAAGATGGATTTCAAAGTCTGTATGACTTTGACTCTACATACACCAATGAGGCTTAACACAGAGTAGAGAGAAGGCAGATGGACAACCAACTAGCCAGGGTTGCTACTGAATGTCTTGAAAGACACAGGCTATGTACACAGACAACACACTGCAATGCCTGAAGTTCTACACAGTCTCGGGGGCCTGGAAAGATAGGAAGATCAGTTTAACTGCTTGGCAGATGCTAGGACATTTAGCACGTGCCTGCTTTCCTTGAGTGTTCACAACTATCACAACCCATTTCTATCTTCTGACAGAAATACAACAAATTCCCAAATATTGCTTCAAAAGAAAATCTGATATATACCTTTATGTAAACTGCAGCATCATTACTCTATAGCAAAATATATCCCCTCTTCACTTTTTTTAAATTTTAATTTATTTTACATGCATTGGTGTTTTGCCTGCATGTATTGTATGTCTGTGTAGAGTGGGACTGGAACCGGAGTTATAGACAGCAATGTGATGTCATGTGGGTGCTGGGAATTGAACCAAGGTCCTCCAGGAAGAGCAGTTAGTGCTTTTAACTACTAAGCCATCTCTCCAGATGCCCCCCTTTACTTTTAAAGCACATGGCTAGAGCCAGTGACTTACAGTGTGTGTGGGAGGGGTGGGTGGGGAATCTCTCTCTCCATATCAAGGGATCTGGCTTGTACCAAACAAAGTCTGACCCACAACAGATAGTAATGATGAAAGAAAAGCACAGTGGCCATAGGCAGGTAATTTAAGTTTTCTAAATCCCTGCTTCCTGCCTCTAAAATGAAGATTTGTAATCCAATAAAAAAAAAAAAGACTGAAAAACATCTAAACTTGTTAAATGTTTAAAACAAGTTGATTACTTAAAAAAAAAGTAGCTAGCATATTGATTATAACATTGGCTTTTATTGAGAGTGTACTCTCAATAAAATTTACTGAAAACTTAGCTGACAAGTGTTATGTTCATCTTTGAAACATGAAAGCTTCGATAAAAGATTTCTGAATAAAATGTAAAAGGATTAAGATCAGCCTATGTAGCACCCCTGATTAGGACTACTAGGAAAAACTACTGAAATATTCTAAGTTTTTGTTTTTTACTGTTGGAGCAAGGGTCTCATTAGGCCAGCGTCGATTTTAAAGTTTCTGAGTTATGAAGTTACAGGTGTGTACCACCAACTCCAGGCTCCCTGGCACCTTTTAGGAAGGAATGCAATAGAAAATAGAATTGATGAAAGATAAGACCACCAAAGGGTCAATCAGGACAAAACTGCAATAGATTTTCATGTCTCAATAAGGATTTTTACATATATTGTATAGAAATAAAATCAAGGCAAAAACCATGATACAACAAAATTTAATTTAAAGGCTCACCATGACTGAAAAGTAACTGATTTTCAGAGACCTGGAAGAAAAACTACTGGTTAAAGCTACCTGGCTCCCCGACCCAGCACACACAGAAAATGACGTAGGGCCAAGTGACTGGACATTGATATATGGAACTAGCAACTCCAAGTAGCTCTATTTGATTTTGTTTTGGGTTTTTTGTTTTTTGGGGTTTTTTTGGTTTCTTTTTCTTTATTTTGGTTTTTCGAGACAGAGTTTCTCTGTCCTGAAACTCACTTTGTAGAACAGGCTGGCCTTGACCTCACAGAGATCTGCCCACCTCTGCCCCCCAAGTGCAGGGATTAAAGGTGTGTGCCACCATCGCCTGGGCCATTTTACAATTTTTACTAAGCTAAATATTTCGCAAAAAAATTTCCAATTAACTGAAAAGTTTACAACAGCTAAATTCTCCAAGGATAAGATACCACGTGTCACTGATCCTCATGCCACTATTCAAATAGCTGTTTCTGATTATACAGGACTCTCCCTTCTAATAAATACTGCATTCGACCTTGGCAATATTCAATTTCTGAGAATGAGACTCAAACATCTGTTTGTGAGAGAACTTCCTGCTGTGTTACCTACAGAATAAGCTGTTGCAGGGCTGGAGCTAGAGCTAACTGCCAAGAGTGTCTGCCAGCATACACAAGGTTAGCTTCAAGTCTCAGCAACACTGTAACAGAAAGCAAAAGCACTTCTGTTGTATCCTAAAAATCAGAGTTCTGCTTGCTGGTTAGAGCCTACTATGGAGACAAACCTAAAACTTTTATGTAATACTATCCATTCACTTTTCAGAGAAAGCTTTCAACAGATTCTCAAAAGGCTCTAGTGAATCCCCTATCCCACAACTACAGTCTTAAGAAAACTGCCAAGAAATCTACAGACAGAACACCCCTGCCACAGCAGCTATCAATTGCTAGCAGCTCCCCAGCCTGTGGTAGGACTTCATGCCCACCTCCCCTTTCCAGGCTGGGGATTTGGGCTGGCTTGAGTTTGTTGTATGTGTCACAACAGCTGTGAGCTCCCATGTGAGGCTGCCCAGCTGTGTCTGGAAGACAGTTTCCATACAGGCACCCACCACCTCTGGTTCGGACACTCTTCCTGCCCCTTCTTCTGCAATGATCCCTGTCACTTTTACTACTTTAGAAACACAGTGGCTAGGAATAGTTCTTTTTTATGGCAGTCCTAAAAAAATATAGTCTGATTCTCTGAACATCTAAAGTGCTTTATATACTGTGTTAGACATAGTCATACAGATCACCAATGCTTATAACCTAAAAGATATAAAAATAAGGTTCAGAAAAATAGAGTAACCTGTCTGAGATCACTCAGCTAAGAAGCTACAAAGTTAGCCATCAATCAAAGCCCATGCCCTTCCTTTTTTGGGGCACAATCTTTGCATTTCACAAAGTTCCTCCCAAAGCAGTAAGGAAAAAGGAATTCTGGGTATAGCAATATAGTAAAGGACTATGGACTACGGATGCATGAAAACAGTTGCCAGGAAACTGCTTCTTACCTCCAACCCAGGGCCCCCACACAGACCTCCTCACACATGGTACTCACTGCAAACCACAGCAACACAGGCTGTCTACAGCAGATCTCACATCCTCAAGTCCCTAGGAAACAGTCCCCACACTGGAGCTCGAAAAGAAAGATGACGCTGCTCTAGTGTAGCAAGGCACAAATGGAGGCTGCTAATAAGAATAGGAGTGATGACACAGAGGAACAGGGGTTTTGTTGGTTTTTTATAATTGTTTGGTTTTTCGTTTTTTAAAGAAAGTCCTAGATAGAAAAATTAAGTGGATGAAAATAAAAATTAGAGGCTAGAAAGATAATATTCAGAACTAAGGTATGGTACAAATACGGAAGAGCTCATTTTCCTTTTTAATCTTGTATCAATACTGTGACTTTTTGTGTATACATTAACCAAAGCCAGCTGTCAACTCCCAATGGCTCAGTTCCCCTAAGGGCTGGATTTCAGTCATATGACACCACACCAGCTTCATTATTTGTTTTATTTGAGATGGTCTCATATATCATTACTAGGGCTTTTATTTTTTCCTTTATTTCTTTTTTGGGTTGTTATATTCAGAAACAGGGTCTCACTTTGTAGCCCAAGCTGTCCCGGAACTCACAGCTATCCTCCTGCTTCAGCCTCTCAGTTGCTAGATGCACCAAGTGTGAATCACCATAGCTGTCCATTAGAACATTAAAATATCACTCTTGTATTCTCTTCATATTTATGTCATAAATTAGGGAAAAAAAAGAATTCCTATGACTACTTTCTTTTTAAAATACTGGGTGGTGAAACTGAACGTCAGTATTCTTAACCACAGACAAACTCACAAAGATGATCAGGAAAGTGCCAGCCACTCTACCCAAGGACTTAGAGGCTCATCAGCACTTCACTGTGTCATGGGCAACCTCTCAAATAGTATAACTTTTCTTCTAGGTATTGCTTTATTTTTTGTTTTCTTGTTTATCTATTAACACCTCATTTTCTGACAAAATTGGATTCATTCAGATCGAAGACTATACTTTCTAAAACTCTGAAGATAAATTTGCAATTTCAAAAACCAAACAATAATATGAATTCTAAGCTTTCCTATGTTTTAAGACATGAATATATATTTTATACAAGTGGATATTGATTTTTATCTAGTAGAATAAAAACGGCTGTATAAAATTTCTGTGAATTCAGACTGGAAGAGTCAAAACTTCAAAAATACGCTGCTGGGCTCTGTCAACTCTAGAGCAGTAGATGTGTACCAACACATTTCAGCTGAAACAGTAAGCCAGAATCATAAATGAGTAACAGAGATAATGCATAAAGATTCTATGAAGATTATGCTAGATGTTCTATAGGTTGAAACTATAGTTTGAAGTGAAGAATCAGTATCACTTATGCTGAATCAGATTAATGACTTGACAGCACCTCACCCTGCCTGGGAAGTGGAGGGTGGATGGGGTAGGGGGGTATTTTGGGGTAGGGTAGGAGGGATGAGGGGAGGGATAGGGAGAAGGGATTGATATGTGAAACAAGTTTGTTCCTAATTTGAACTAAAAAAAAAAAAATCAAAAAAATTCTGTGAATTATCCTCATTCTGAAATACTAACGAATGACAATATAATGCCAGGCATGATGGGAGGAAGAGACAGGAGGATTAGGAGTTCAAGGCTAGCCTCTGCTACATCATCCTGTACCAGACAGAAGTTTGAGGCCAGCCTGAGCTATGAGACCCTGCTCAAAACAAACAAGTACACAAGAAAGGATAAAAAGACAGATTTATGAAAGCACAAAGGTTTAGGAAGCAGACAACAGTTCACTAGCAGACAGCATTTTATTGGTTTCTCTCAGCAGTGAAATCTCCTCTTGGGTGGTTTGCACTGTGATGGCAGCGGCATACCTTTGGTAGTATCAGATATGCTATTTAACAAGGCACACATCATGTCTCCTTCTAAGTGGTGAGGGTTCAGTATATGAGCTGGCCGCTGAGTCTTCTTAAATTGATTCTCTAGTTCCAGAAAACCTTGGTCTCCTGAGAGGATAGTGAAGGGAATTTGCTTGGGCAGTTGTTCATCTAGTCGGCCAGCCTAAATTAGAGCAAACGGCACAGGTTCTTAGAAATCTGCAAGTTTCAAATCAAGTAAAATCTATTTCACAATGAGCACACCCCTAAGAAAGTATGTTAGAATCATTTCCTAGCCAGTCTTCATAAATGATATGATATACATTTAGTCAAATATAAGATGTCAATAATACAAGATAACCTACATGTGTACCATTAAGGAAAAAGAAACAGCCAAACTACATGTACAAAGGGGCACGTATATGACGGAGGGACCCAAAAAGGCCACTGATCCAAGAAGGTGGCAAAGAAACCTTCACAGGGAAGATGTACGATAGGTGAACTGTGTAATTCAACCAGAGGAAGAAGGAATTGCTTGAGGTTAAAAGAGCAAATGACATGTCTGCAAAAGCATTCATTCACATTACATGAGTGATATAAAACATTCAAGCAAAGTACTTAATATAAAGTGAGTCCTGGCTCAGTAGTTCCGTTGGATGACTGGCATAGGCAGATGTAAATGCAAAGTGCATTTGGACTACAGTGATTTGTACAGTGCTTCTCAGTTTGAGGTATTAAAATGTGAAAGTGTATTAGTACACAACAAGTATAGTTATCATCAACTATTTGCTCCATACATAACTATACAGATGAAGATCTCCGAGAGGACCAAATAAGCAGTAATTAAATATGTGGTGGGCCCTTACCAGACCATACAGCAGCAAGCAGACCTGATGCAGAAAGTTTCATAAAACCCACACTGAATAATGAACTATGCTGTCATTCCAGTTCCAGTGGGAAGAAATCCAAACGTATCCTGCATTTTATAAAACGCCTACTTACATGCATACATATGGCAAAATCAGCAGCATCTTTTCTTTTACTACAGCGAGGATGAAGAAAGAAGCATCCAATCCTGTTCAAGTAATTATAGACCTTACAGCTGAGTGGGGGCTTCCAATTGGTGTTTCCTCCTATTATTTTAGAAAAAAAATATAAATGATAGTCAAGCAGGGAAATAGACGTCTGACAACCTTTTCAAGGTAAAATATAACCTATAAAAATTTTTTTCCTTAAAAATACTAAACTACAATGTGAGGGAACGTACCCACAGATGTAACTCAGTTTATTATAGTACAAATGTACTAGAATGTACAAAGCCTTTGGTTTGATCTCCAGCACCACATAAACCAGGCCTGGTGGTGCATACTCATGTAGGGTGGAGGCATGATGACCCGGAGTTCAAGGAAAGCCTCAGCTACAAAGCGCGTTTCAGGCCAGCCTGAAGCTATATGAGATGCTGTATCAGTCCCACCAGAGGCATCTCCATCGTGTTGCTTTACAGTCTTCGGAATGGAGACTGACTCCTTTAATCTACCTACATATGTACAAGTTCATGGGGTAGGGCATGGAGAGATGTCTCAGTAGTTAAGAGCACTGGCTGTTCTTCCAGAGAACTTGTCTTTGATTCCCAGAACCCACAGGTAGTTCACAACTGTCTATAACTCCAGTTTCAGGATGAGAACTAGCAGGTAATACACAGGCATATATACAGATAAATGCCCATACACATAAAAAATAACTTTTCTTAAGTTCATTTGCATAGTGAGCAGAGTAAAAAAAAAAAAAAAAAAAAGTTAACAGAATGGTACATGAATTCAAAATTTGGTCTTACAAGTATGCCAAAATCAGTGGATAAAAATGATGCATAGTATCTAAGGCTTTCTGTTTATACCCCTAGGTTAGTACTACTCTTGCTCTCAATCTTCCTCAGAGAGGCTTCTCTTGTATGGGCTCAAGTTAAATCAGAGACTCATGACTAGTTAAAGTCCTGAGACAATTGATGGCTGAATGATCAGTTACATCTTTGTAACCCCCTCCAATGCCCACAAAACACAATGGAAAAGGAAGCATAAAGAATGTAAGAGCCAGTGGCTGGAAGAGTGCTCTGAAGCACTGTCTTCTGGACATGTCATGGGCCTCAATTGAGAACTCACTCACAGCAGCTGTGAAGACCTACACCAGGTGGCCATCAACATTCCAAAAGCAACTGGTGAGGAGCATCTGGTTGCTGGAGACAGAGTCATTGGCTTGAGTGGCAAAGTCACTGTCATGCTCTACTAAACTGCCCATGCTCTACTAAAGAATCTCCAACCCATACTCATGAAAGGAAAAAAAAAAAAAAAAGAAAGAAAGAAAGAAAAAAAGACATGAAAATAGAAGGAGCACGTTTTACCAAGTAGGGGTAGTAGAAGTGATGTGAGATGGTGACAGGGTGAAAATGAAATATATATAAGTGAAATTAACAAGGAGTTTTAAAAACTAAAAGAGTGAGGCAATCAGCAGAGCTAGACTTAATAAAACATTAGATTGGCTAATTTATCCAGATCAGTATGTTTCTATCTTCAATGTTAATCCTTATCTTTGTATGTCATTTCCTCTGAAAAATGACCTGTACCAGACACTCACTACACTAAATCAGAGAATTCCTTCCCATAGGTCTGGTCAGTGGTTTATGGAACCATCTAGTAAAGTGGTTCTTCATAAATAGTAACAATGAACTGAAAAGGCAATGGTGGCATGCTGAAAACAACAACAGTCCCATAGCTAGGAGACCACAGCTCAAGAGATAACTCTGCTTTCTAGTAATACTGTAACAAAACACAAGCTTCCAAGTCTGCTTCCTTGAATTTTGGTTTTTTGTTTGTTTTAAAGATTTATTTCTTAATGTGCCTTGAAGTTATACCTGCCTGTATATTTGTGAGAGGGTATCAGATCCTCTGAAATCAGGGTTACAGAGAGTTGTGAGCTGCCATGTGGGTGCTGGGAAATGAACCCAGGTCCTCTGGAAGAGCAGTCAGTTATCTCTCCAGCTTTTGAATTTTGTTTTTAAGTTATATTATGATTTTATACAATTCTCTCAGCCTGCTTTCTTGTATTTTAAAAGCCTGACACATTATAGGTGTTTAAATGAATCCTTCTTCAATGTGTATCAAAAGATGCATAAATTCTGGGTTAACAGAGCTAATACTTTCCATAGAAATATGTTAACAAAAACAAAAATCTAGATCAGCATCCAGATAGCTAGTGGGTAAAGATGCTTGCCACCAAGACTGATGAACTAAGATTGGTCCCTGAAACCCACACAATGTATGAAGGGAATAGATTCCCACAAACTGTCCTCTGAACTCTACACACATATACATAAAGTAAAATAAATGTGAACAAGTAATCTAGCAGAGCAATGCACAGTAATAATACTCAAGCTATGTTTTCATGTTCTATTCAGGAAGGCTCAAAGGGACCTTTTTAAATGAATCACTTTCTCAGAAGAAGTGCCTCTAACGCTTTCCTTCTTAACCATACCTTGAAAGCCCCAAATAAACGTTCCTTGATTAAGGTGCCCAGGTAGATGACCAAAAAAGTTCGACCAGTTATCAAAATCTACAAAGACTATATGAGTCATGGTTCGCAGGTAGTCCACATCTGGAAGCTCAACTTCCTCCTCTAAGAACACACACAAAGAAAACACAACATAAATTCAGTAAGAATGCTCCATAAATATTCAAATTTCTCAAGTCTAGAAGACATTAGAGGCCCACTATGCAAAAACGTTAATTGTTCCTATTATTCATCTCTATCGAAACCTTTTCAAGGAATCCAAATCTGTAAACACTTTAAGATATTTCACACCTGATCATATATTCTTCTTAAAACTTTCCTTTTGACTGTAAGGCCTTTGTGTTTTTCTTTTATTTTGAGACAGGATCTCACTTAGTCCAGAATGGACTCAAACTCACTCTGTTATCAAGGCTGGCCTTGAACCCTTTGGCCTTCACTTCCCAAGTGCTAAGACTACAGGCATGCACTACCACGACTGGCTAAAGTCATTTGTGATAGAAATTAATTTTTTGTTGAAAATAAAGTTATTTTTAGCAAATTAATGTACTAGGTCGAATAGGAGTCCAAATTTTAAGACTAAATTCCCTTATCCATAAATATTCAGTGTGCATGAAAAGATTCATTAACTTATATCAAAACAGAAACACACAAAAATAATCTAGTAGAATAATACATAGTAGCATTAAATTATGTCCTAATGTTCCATTTAGGAAGGCTCAAAGGAACTTTTAAAATGAAGAAGTACCAGTTAGGTAGCACACATCTTCAACCCAACACTCTTGAGGCAGGAAGGAAGATCAAGGTTTGATGGCAGTCTGGGTGACACAATAAAGCCCTACAAATATGATTGTCAAGGTTATTTACCAAGAATGCTCTTGGCACAAAAACTTGCTTTTCTTAGTCTTGACTGATTTATTAGTAGCCCTCTGCCTTGACGATTAAATATTTATGAGGCCACAAGGTAACTTCAAAGCCTGATCCCACCGGAATGAGAAATAGGTGCTGGTAGAAGTTACTACCTACATCTTGGTTCTCTCTCGGGTTCTTCTTTCATCTCCTGTTCATCACTGCTTAGCCTACCTCCCTTTCAAGCTTTTCCATCTTGACAAGGCCTGATAGTGTCTGTGATGTTCATGCAAACCTTGGAATATTTGTAAATGAGTATTTTCTAGTAGGCCTAACAGAGGCCTCTCTTCAGTGTATCACTTTCATGCGCTATCCCTAGCTCTTAGAAATCTTAGGCTTAGATGCTGCAGGCATCTTCTGTCCAACAGACAAACACACATTTCCCCCCAACACAATGAAAGACCAAAGGAAAAGCACAAGAAAAGATAAAATAGTGTAGCTACTGTTTCACTTTTTTGGAACTCCACACATGCTCCCAGCCAACTCTAAGCCAAGGCCCAGAGTGGCTATGTATCGCCAGGGAGGCTGAAGCAAGGTACTCTACCCTGGACAATGTCTTGGAATTCAGCAAGTGCTATAGCAGGGGCAAGAACCAAAGGGTTTCTTTGTTTTTCAGCTGATACCAGGAGTTTCTAGGTACACAGGCCCTTGCAGAGGTCTTACATCATGTGGACAGATTGTGAAAAATGTTAAAAACTATTACTTGAAATATTATTGAAATGCTACTTTACAAATAAACAATCCAAAGAATAAAACATGAACCACAGAATTTGTATTTTATCAGCCAAAATTTATTCACTGTTTTTACTCTGCCTTTTACAATTCACCAGGTTAATATTCAAAAGTCTACAGATTTATTGTATCTAGCCAAAAAAATTAAACTTTTAAATACCATAAAGAACTATTTACTTAACCCAGTCATATGGAGGGAAAGTTCAAAGGAAGTGTACAGGAAGGGATTTGCCTTCCAACTTCACACCCACCTTTCTAGTTCTACTTCTAATCACTAATTATTTACTACAAAACTATGTTGCAAAGTAATCTTAAATTACATTTATGATTTCTCATGTTTAAAGAATAGGCCAAGTGGGGAATGATAGCTTGTGACTGTAATCCCAGTACTTAAGGGGCAGAAGAATAGGCACAATCTCTAGGCCATCTATGCTACAAAATAAGCTTCAGGCTAACCTAGGCTAATGTGTGAAATCTTGTCTTTAAAAAAAAAAAAAAAAAAAAAAAAAAAAAAAAAAACTCAAACAAAAATCCTTAGAGTAAATAAATTTAAAAAACATTTAAATAAGAACAAGCCCAAAGAGATATAAAAGCAATTTACCTAGGGCTAGTCATGTAGCTCATGATACAGCACTTGCTTAGCATGTAAAAGGCTAAACACAGCACACACAGAAAGATAAAGGTGCGCGCACGTGCATGCGCATACATACACACACACACACACACACACACACACACAAAGATACAGATGGAATGACTTTAAGAATCTTTAAGGAGTAGCAACACCTGTTATTTTTCAATACTCTCATAAAGAGATCTCTATTATTAAAGACGGCAGAACCCTGAGACTGTACACTGGCTGGTCAGCAGCGGACACCTCTGATCTCAGCATTCCCTCAGCTTTTGACGGTGAGTGAGTGAGTACACACACTAAGTTCCAGTGAGAGTGGGAAACTTGCCCCATGCTACAAAGTCATACCTATATTCTGGCAGCTGGCGTCATGCTCAGCTCCTTTCTCCACGTCTGAATGTTTCTGATAGTTTGTCTGCTTTGGTTTTTTCTCAGCATGTGACACACTGGCAGCAAACTTGCCCATGCTTCCTCTGTCAGATCCACCATTAGTCCCACCGGGTTTCTGGCAGGCGCCATGCTTTCTGTGGAAGTGCTGCTGAGCACTCTCGGCATTCTGAAACGCTGTGGTGCAGACGCCACACTTGATCACATACTGCTGTCCCTCGTCACTGTCTTCTCTTCCATGCACTTGATGGATGTGAGCAGCAATGTCATCCGAATTCTGTGCTGTCGCTGAACACAAACTGCAGCGAAACCACAGTTTACCTTTATCTAGCATGATCTGAAGACATCTGTCGTAATCTTCCTTTCTGTTGACGTTACAGATGTAACTCTCATGACAACCACAGCTTAACAAATCACTAGTCTCTATTATTTTAAAATCATCCTCAGTTTTAATTGAGGTTTTAGTTTTTTCTGACACAAACACATAATCTGTGCTGTGGTGATCCTTATAATGACTCAGAAATGCTTCTTCCTTGTTAAAAATAAGATCACAAAGCCCACAGAAGTACTTAACCTTGATCTCATTGTCATGCTCATCCTGGCAATGTCGGTACAAAGTTTCTATTTTATGAAAAGTCTTTCTGCAATGGGCACAGCTGTACCTATGAAACTGGTGACTTGTCAAGGACATGCAGTGCTGTTTTACACATTCCTGGGAATCAAACATATCTTCACAAATCCTGCATTGCCACCTGCCCCTTGGAGGGCTGCTTGTCAGGCGATGATCAACAACAGTAATGGGTGAAGGTGGTTTGTCAGCATCTAAATGACTCACCACAGACGATGACGGCAAGACTTCATCTTCTACCTCATCCATCTCATAAAAATATCTATGGCCATTATGAAACTCAGTAATGTGTGCCATGATGGCATCTTTCTTTATTAGCTCTTTTTTACATGTCCGACACCAAAATAGAAAGTTATTTAAATGTGCTCCTCCATGAAACCGGCTCATGTGTAAACGCATGACCCCCGAATCTTCACACACCTTTCCACAGACCACACATTTATAACACATTGTGTTTGCTGAGAAGACATGCCTTTCTACTGCATCTTCACTAGGAAAGCGCCGATTGCACTCACAACACCAGGCTGTAACTGCTGAATTCTGTCTCTGCACACAGGCTGCTCCTCCATGGCTTTTGCCTCCTAAATTCAGCTTCTTTTTTGGAATGACACAATCCTCTGCACTGGATTCTTTAACAGACATAATTCGTTTAAGTGATGAAAATTTTGGTTGGCTGAATAAATGCAAATCACAAGGAGACTTACTGCCTTCACTGATATGGCAGTAAAGTAAGACTGATTCTTCCACTGAGTTCACAACTGTGATTTTGTGTCCTGAATTCTTGTGACTTTGGATGCTGGTTTCATCCACAAAGATCTGGTTGCAATCTGAACAATAACCTCTTACTATGAATTCTTCTGCAACCTGAGTAATACTTTTCTCAGCTATGGCTACAGGTCCAGCGTTTCGACAACGAACCCTAATTTGGATTTAAAAAAATAAAAAAAAGAAGTGTAAGTTTTCTTTGCTTAATAAGAATTTTAAAATAACAATATAAATAAGTAGTAAACGGTATTTTTCAATAAAGCAGTTAAGTGATAGTATATCATCTTAAAATACTTTTATATCACCTCTATTTTATCTTTCTAATCCATATACAAGGGGTTAAAAGTGGAATCAAAAGATTAAAAATATTAATGCAAACTTTAGAAAACTTCAATCAGTATCAAATATACTGATAAAGGACTCTGAAGCAAATTAGATTCTGAAAGGTCATTGAAACAGACGAACACTGTATAATTCTAGACAATATTCCACTCTTTTTTGTTGCGGTTTTCTAGCTTTATTGTGGGTTTTTTAATTGATTAATTGATTTAACTGTATCTATTTAACATGTATGGGTGTTTTGTCTACACATCTGTTTACTTCTTGTGTGCCTGGTGTTGGTGAAAGCATCTGGTCCCCTGGAACTGGAGTTACAGACAGTTGTGGGCGCTGCAAATTGAACCTGGGCCTTCTGGAAGAGCAGTCATGATGTGCTCTTATTCAATGAGACACCTCCCAAGCCTGTTTTGTTTTATGTGTGTGGGTGTCCGCCCTTGCCCCTCCCCCATTTTTGTTTTTTATTTTATTTCTTTTGATTTGGTTTACTTTTTGGAGACAGGGTTTCTCTGTGTAACAGCTCTAGCTGTCCTGTCTCTGTAGACCAGACTGGCCTTGAACTCACAGGGATTCACCTGCCTTCGCCTTCCGAGTACTGGAATTAAAAGGCATGTGCTACCACCACCGAGTTTATTCCCCTTTTGGATAGTTTCACCATGAAACCAAGGTTGGCCTTGAACCTGTGATCCTTCCTCCTCAGCCTTCTAAGTGTAGGGTTGTATAGGTAGGCACCACAACTACCAGCTCTACTTATTCAGAATTGATGAACTTATGTCAGGCATATGCTCTATCCATGTTTGCTTTTTTGCTAAAGAACAAGACTCATTAAGAACCGGCTGACAGGCTGGACAGTCTGGGGATGAAGAACCCTCTGCCTGATGGCTACTATTCTGCATCTCCATGCTTCCCAGCCACACTTCTCCCACTCTTCCAACTCCCCTCATCATGCTAGATTGGGTTACATTCCAGAAAACTACATCCTTGTTTTAAAGGACAGACACATGGAATAGAAAATACTTGCTGAACCCTTCCGCTATTGAAAAACTCACCATGATTTCTTTATGACTTAAGTTTAGACCTGTACAAACCTGAAATGGGCAGTGAGCTCCATGTGGGATCGCAGAGTCTGGCGGCAGGCCACACACTTAACTTGAAATGGAACATCTTTGCACAGAGAGACCAAAAGTTTCTTTGCAAAAGATGGAAATGATATTGGATGTGCTGTTAACTTATCATCTGAAAGACAAAATAAACTATAAATTGCAAAGTAATTTGAACAGAGAGTCACCCAATCTTTCTCTTCTTTCCTTTCTGAACATCAGCTATGTAAAAGATAGTTATATAGTTAGTAGTTTTTAGATTGAAATACAAAGAGTGCCTTCTACTGAAATTAAAAGGCATCTTAAATGCAGAGGAAGAGCCAATTTCCCATACCTTCCAGATAACAAAAATACTATCCTGAATAGATGGTTTCTTGCAAGTTTCTTTCCATCCTTCAAAATGCACAAAACATAGCTGGGTGGCAGTGGCACCTTCCTTTAATCCCAGCACTCGGGAGGCAGAGGCAGGCAGATTATAATGAGTTTGAGGCCAGCCTGGCCTACATAGTGAGTTCCAGGTCAGCCAGGGATACAAAGTAAGACCCTGTGTAAAAAAAAAAAAAAAAAAAAAAAAAAAAAGGAGGGAGCTAAAACACATTCACAGATACAAATAAACATTTTCTTAAAATAAGAATTTAAATAAAAAAAAAAAAAACCCCTGGTAAAAAAAAAAAAAAAAAAAAAAAAAAAAAGGAGGGAGCTAAAACACATTCACAGATACAAATAAACATTTTCTTAAAATAAGAATTTAAATAAAAGCATTTCCTTTTTATGGTTGTAAACTGATAAGCATAGCCAAACAATGTTTTGCAAAGTATGATGATTTGCAAAGATATAAATCCTTTAGAGAAATGTAGCAGTGACACACTAACATACCACCCAGCTTAAAGCTCTGACGGAAATGACTCTTTGCAGACATATGCTTCAAACACTCGTCCTTGGTGGTGAACAGAAGAAAGCAGTGTGGACACGCAAAACACTGAATGACCTGAGGAGGAAGGCTACTGCTATGTCCATCGGCTGCAGCTACCTAAAAGAAAAGGCAAAGCCACGTCACAACTAAGACCAGTGTGTAAACTAACACAATAAAAAGGGGACTTTAAAATTTCCAACTTTAAAATTAGTATTTGGAAAATTTCATGCCAATGCTACAACTAAAATCAATACTCAACACATTTTTTAAAAATCAACTTTAAAATTTCCAATTTTATGTATTTGAAAAATTTCATACCAATTTTTTACTTTTCTTCCCTAAGTATGAATTAGGTAGCTTTTACCATTAACAAGAGACCATAGATACAATTTAACCTTTTTTCTCAAAATATTATGGTCATCTTTCTTTTATACTAAAGAACATTTATTTCCTATACACTTATCATTTCTGATAAATTCATGTATAATATGCTAATATACAAATATGACCACAGTATACACTTATGAATCTGAATGCCTTTTTCTCTCTACCCTGAACTTAACTGATTACTATAATCTTTTAATAACCTTTTCTGTTTAATGATTTATAATTATACTGAGAAATTTATGAAGGAGAATGCTTATATCAAATGCTATCATCTTATAAACTTTTATTAGTTCTTTCATTCCATAATAAGTAGAAATTTCCAAAAATCTACTGGCACCACTTGAATCCATACTTCTTACTGACTGTCAACTAGTTGACAGAGAAGATCTATTCTGAATTAGTCAAATATTCATTGTGTGTGTCTCTGGTTTGAGGTCTACCCCACCACCACACACTATAAACAGTGATGTTGTAAATGACCTTTAAAATACTTGTTTCTCATTATTCCGGGCATCTCTACATAGCAAGAAGGTGTGCATACTTGAAGACTGAAAGATATTGCACGATTACTTTTCAAAAGGGCTCTATCAATGTATGTATTCCCTAGCACTGAAAGAACCTAATGGCAAGTGAGACTAGGGATCTTTCTTATTTTTTTCAATCAAGCAGGTTTTAAATCCATTACTATTTTAATTCAAATTCCCTGCCTACAATTAAGTTTGAACATGCATTCCTACATTTATTGGGAAATGTGGTTGTGTTCTTTTATTAATTTCTCACTCATGTCCTTTAGAATTGTTTTCAGTTTTGTTTTCCAAGATAGGTTTCTCTGTGTTACAGCTCTGGTTGTCTGGGAACGAACTCCGTAGACCAGGCTGGCCTTGAACTCACAGAAATCCCCTATTTCTGCTTCCCAAGCTCAAGTGCTAGGAATAAAGGTATGCACCACCACTGGCCAGCCTTTTCTCCCATCTTTAGCAGTGCTATGTTACTGGAACTACTTCTTTTACTCATTCTTCGTTATGTAAATACTTCTCCAAATATCTACTAGTGTTTGCTTATGGCCACTTTAAAAGTTTTGGATAGTCAACTAGGTAGAGCTTTTGTCTTCTGAGACAGAGTCCTAATATATAGCTTATGTCAAACTCTCAGGGACTCAAGAGATTTTCTTGCTTTAGTCTCCTGAGGCTGACCTAGAGCACACAGGTATGCACAACCAGGTGTGGTTAGAATTTTTTGTGGCATCTAATTTTATAAACGTGGTTTAGAGTCTCCTCTATCCCAAAATTAAATTTAAAATTGCACGTTATAAGAAAAAGTATGTGTGTGCTTGCTGTAAATTACCCTTCCTATTAACCATCCTTACAGTAATAATCTTAAAATATACATCATGTCTTCTTAGATGTACTACCAGTGAAACTGGGAACTTAACAATTGTACAGTGTTTGAGACACAAGAGGAAAGACAGGAAATTCACATTTATACTGAGAACATGTCAAGACCACACTAGGATTCTGAACATGTTTCTCTGAAACATCTTTATAGCAACCCCATGGGGCATCATTTTCTTTTTCAGTTATCACCACCACTCCCAACATCTCATAAACAAGTTATGCCCCTAAAAGAGACCAATCAGAGATTTAAAGCTAGCTTTGTACCTCTGGCTCTGGTTCTATGCTCTTTTCATTATTCCCCCATATCCCTCGATTGTGTTTTAATTTGACTAATGCCACAGAGGAGAAAAATCTAGGAGGACATTCTGAATTACATTTAGAATTTTCTCAATGACAAGAGCAATAAAGGCATTTACTATCAGTCTACAAATTTCTCCTAATTTAAGAATCTTAAACTATTTTTAGTTCAATTCCAGGTTATATGCAGATCCAAAGTAAAAAATGTTTAAAGATTTGCTCAATAGAATCAAAGAATTATACATAAAATTTTACTATACTGTATCTACTACAAAAGAATGTCATATCTGTTGCGCAGTGGTGACACGTGCCTTTAATTCCAGCACTCAGGAGGCAGAGGCAGGAGGATCTCTGGGAGTTTGAGGCCAGCCTGATCTACAGAGAGAGCTCCAGGATGGCCAGGGCTACACAGAGAATTCCTATCTCAGAACCACACCATCCACCCCAAAAACCACACCACCCCCCCTTCCATCTAAAAATTGGAAGAAGGAATAGGAAATAGAATGTCCAGTTAAGTCAAGCCAGAAAATTTCTTTTTATCATGTTTTTGGGACATTAAAATAATATAGCATACAAGGGACAGAGAAATGGCTCAAAAGGTAAAGGTGCTTTGCCACACAAACTTGGAGACATGAATTTGATCACTTAAACCATGTCAATTTGAGAGAACCAATAGAATTTGAGAGCTGGAGAGACAGCTCGGTGGTTAAGAGTGTAATGCCCATGCAGAGGACCCAAGTTCATTACCAGCCCCCACACGAAACAGCTCACACCTGTAACTCCAGCTTAGAGAATTCAACACCTTCTTTTGGCCTCCAAGGCGCACGCGCACACACAAGATTTTCTTTTTAAAGAATAAGATGCAATTCCCTATCATGTGACCAAAACCACAGAGCATGTATAATAAGGTAATTTCATATACCACAGAGCAAGGTAATTTCATGTACCACAGAAGGAAGAGTTTAATGATAATCTCTAGGACTGCTAGAGTTTAGCTAATAAACTTAGTGTCCCAAGTCATTTTATTTTCAATATTTAAATTTTTTATCTTTATGTGCATTATTAGTGACTACAAGATTAAGAGCAACAGGAAAAAAAAAACTACACCAACTCCATGTTCATCTAGAAAAAGGATATCTATTCATAGTACATGCTCTTACCTTAGCAAGAAGATGATCCCTATACTGCTGTTGAGTAGCAAAATGTTCATAACATACACCACAAGCAAAGGAATTAGCAAGAGGTCCATGTAATGTAATTGTTGGATCACATGGGGAGTGATCAAACCTACACAGCCAAGAGAAGTAGTATCAGAAAGATCTACTTTGCAGGAGATAAATCAGTCGGCTTTGCTTATGAAGCTGATCCATATGAACATAAGACACAAAAATCTTTCTGTACTTCTCCTTGAGACATCTGTGAAGGAAAATGGCTGGAAGCCCCAAACTCTCAATTCCTCATCTTTCAGCTATCTGAAAAGGAGACTGCAAAAACCCTCTGCTTTCTCATGATCTACTAGAAAGAAGCTCAGCTAATCAGTAAATGGGCAACAGCACAGTATTTAATTGTAAATTCTGCCATAGGTAATTACTTTGGAATGCTATACCAGATTATATAAGATAGACAATATACCTGTAAATGCTCTGTCTCCTGAAATTTACTTTTATAGCATGGATTTCTCTACAACTATTTCAACTGAACTGTAATGCTAGATAGAGAACAATCTAAAATCTTACCCAGCTTTCTTAAAAATAAAACTCAATATAAGTTACAAATCACATATCAAAATAGCACAAACAACCTGACTTTCAAATATTAAGCTAAAATTGTATTAGTAAAGATATATTGAACTTCATTTAACAAAATCATTTTGAAGACTGTTTACACAAGAATAAGATTCTAAACTGGATCTCCAACACTACAGAAAACAAAACAATGTCCCGTCCCCCCCAGATGACTAACCTTCAACATCTGAATTCTGAGAATCCTACTTACCTTTTCAAATGTCCTAAAAGAAGGTGCCCATTGTCAAATTCCTTGTTACAGTGCATTATAGGACACAAAATTGGCTTCTCGGACCTCCCCATTCTGCCTCCACTTTGGAATGATTTTTTTCTCCCAGAATTAATTGCACTGTTTTTGAGTCCTATAACATCATAACATAAATTCTTAGGTTACTATTTTTAGATAGCTGTGTACTGGGCTGGGGTCTTCAGAATAATGACAAAATAACAGAAATTAGATCATAGTATCAAGTAGGTGATCCTACAATCTTTCTTTTCTTTTCTTTTTTTTTTTTCTTTTGTTTTTCAAGACAGGGTTTTTCTGTGTAGCTTTGGAGTCTGTCCTGGAACTAACTCTGTAGACCAGGCTTGCCTCAAACTCACAGAGATCCACTTGTCTCTGCCTCCTGAGTGACAGGATTAAAGGTGTGCACCACCACTGCCCAGCCTCACAATCTTTCTTAGAAAATAGCTTTAAAGTAAACAGTTATTGGGACACACAAACATGCCTGTGTGCAAACATAATCAAGCTCCCTCATTTATTTAAATCAAAAATGCTCTTTCCCTTGAATTCTTATTTTCCCTTTAATCTAAACTGTTCAACATCTAGAAAATTCCCTGTGATATAGTGACATGGAAAGTAAGATTCTGCTACTAGCTCTTGAAAGTTCCAGATTACTTACCCAGAAAAAACTGTTCCTCAGTGGTCCTTCCAGGAAACTCAAAGCAACAACAACAACAACAACAATAAAAAAGGCTAGCCAAGCTTTAAAATAATTTCAAGGGAACACTTCCTACAATGTGTCAGCACGGGCCACACTGATAAACCACCAGATCTCACTTTGAATTCCAACTGTCACACACCTCTCCAGAGACACATGGAATACTTTATACAATGTTTAATAAATATCTAAAGAGCTCAGGGATGACCTATCTTATTCACATTCAAAATATACTTGGCCCAAAGAAGTCAACAGCAAAGTAGGCCACTGAAAAACAGGCCACAGTTGTAGAGTGACATTAGCACCATTGAAACTAAATTTCTGTGTGTGTGCACATGCATCTATACACATATACACATGTACATGTTCACATATGTATATACCACATTTGGAAGCCAGAAGAAAAGCATGGGTGTCCCTTCCGTGTCTGTCGTTTCTAGGGTTCTGTATGCCTTTTTGGAAGCAAGGTCTCTCAGTTGCCTGAACTTATTAAGTAGGGTACACTGGCCCACAAGCCCCAGGGATCTCCTGTTCCTATCTCCTCAGCACTGGGATTAGAAACACACGCTGCTGCCAGGTCTAGCATTTTTGATGTGAGTTCCAGGAATCTCACTGAGGTTCTCTTCCTCCCACCTGATCATTGCTCCATCCCTAAAACTAAATTTCAGTATCATCTATGTTCACTAGCAATGGAATCAAATCCACACACTTTCTACCCTATGGCTCCCAAGAAGTTCAGAACTCAAATGTGATCTCTAACGGATACCTGACATTTTTAGCCACTGGTCAACACACTGTCTTGCTGCTTCTGTTTCTGAATGTCCTTGAATAAATTCCAATTCTTGTAAACCATGAGCGTGCTGAAAATCAAGTTTTTCCTAAAGATAACAAGAAAAAAAAAATCAGTTGACTTATGATAACTACTGCCTCTTGGGTGAAAAGATTTTGATACATCAGTGATAGAAAATACTGAATACTCTGTATCCCAAGAACTCCTACCTAGAAATTTATACCAAAGATTACACATATGTCAAAATAAAGTCATGTGTACTGCTCTAAGATGTTGAGCCCACAGCTATTTGCACAAAGTTTGCTACATATTGTATCTCCAACAATAGGGAGGTAGGTAAATTACAGCACAAACATTTGATGCAAGTCAATAAACAATGACCAAACATTTTCCATGTTGTGAGAGCATATTTTTGTGAGTCACCAAGTGGTGTTAAATAAATAAGGACAAAATGAAGGAGTCATTCATTTCAAATTATATAAACTATACCTGATTTCAAAAAGGCTAAAAACAAAGCTAAATATTATTAAGGCAATACTGTAATGGAAATGTAAAGAATTGTTTTCATCTTTAAAATTTGAGACATTTTTGAATTTTTATAGTTTTCTATACAAAAGAGCTTAGTAAATACGTCTCAATGAATAATATTAATATCAGATACTCAGTAGCATTTCCTAAATGGCAGTACAAAGCATCTGTTACCATCTACACTGAGAGTTGGTGTACATTTTCAAAAGGGCTAAATACCCAACTAGGCTTAGCCCACTGTGTTGTCTCCACTTCTACCTCTCACCCCTGCTGCTGTAGCATCAGAGTAGCCATAGACAGTATGTCAACAAGTATGGCAGTATCCAATAAAGCTTTATTTACCCAAAAAAAGCTTTATTTACAAAAATCCACAAACAAGTACTCCCGAAAATACATGTATATATTTAGCTTTTCCTATCCACATTTCATATGTATATAGATGTGATCAATTTATCAAAATCTTTTGATAAAACTGCATCTGTACCAACATGTACTAACTTTCTTCTTCTTACTCCCTAAACAATATAATGTAACAACTATTACATAGCACTCATATTTACTAGGTATGATAATTAACCAGTTAGTAATTCAGGATTTTTCAGGATCTAGAGAATGAATGACCTATTTAGCCATATAATAAGACTTTCCTAAGAAAGGGTATACAGGATAGTTTCATATCTATGAGCAAACCTGTAGGGCATTTTCTTAATTAATGATTGATAGAAGAGGGTATAGCCCATTGTGGCTATTGCCATTCCTGGACTGGTAGTTCCAGGTTCTATAAGAAAGCAGGCTGAGCAAGCTAGTAAGTAGCAACCCTCCATGCCCTCTGCATCAGCTCCTGCTTCCAGATACCTGTGTAAACCAAATAAACCCTTTCCTCTCCAACTTGCTTTGGTCATGGTGTTTCATCACAGTAATAGAAGCCCTAAGATAAGGGTAAGTGAAGAGAAAAATATTGACCAAGACTTCATTATAAAGACAATTTATAAAATATTGTTCCAAAGGACAGCTATAAAGAAGTCTCAAGAATGCTGACACATACATATTTAAATTTTCTAAGTCAAGTAAACATAGAAATACTGGCTTTAATACAAAAATTTAAAAGTATGTTTCATATAGAACTTCTAAAGCCCTAATGTAGTAAAGTGATTTTTCAATACACAAAGCATATATCTCAACTTCACAAGCCACCAGTTTCTTACTACATAATCACTGCAATAAAATCTTCCTTAGTAATAACATTATCAGGGACTAGAGGGATGACTCAGTGAGTAATGTGCCACAAGAGCATGAGGACCTGAGTTCACTCCCCAGAACCCACAGAAAAGCCAGGCATAAGGGCATGTGCTTATAACCACAGAGCTGGAAGGGTGGGTAGGCAAATCACTGGGGCACACTGCCCAGCCAGCCTCACCTAATCCACGAGTTCCAGGAGGCCAATGACAGACTTGTCTCAAAACACAAGGTAGATGGTTCCTAAGGAATAACACCCAAGGCTGACCTCTGTTCTCCACAGGAATGCACATGCACACATATAAATTATAAAACTCAACTCACAAACACCAAAATAATTAGAAGACATTTTCAATACTAGTATTTCAATACTAGAATTCTTCAAAAATTCTATTTATTATTTTTCTTTCTTGGAAATATCTTTACCTCTTTATTATAAATAATTCTATAAACTAGCAAATCCCAACTAAATTAGACACATACCCTGAATGCTCTATTCTTCTCTTCTTTTTGTTGTTTTTCCACTTCAACATGACGGGCGAGGCGAGCCAATGTTAAAGCAACTTTGTCCTTCTGATGGTCTATATAGTCTTTGTGTTTAAAATTCCCCTATAGTACAAACAAAATAAAACAATTTTCATTCCACTTAATACAAAATTAGCACTTAGACAGCAAACATTCACTTACCAAACAGTTATTGTCAAGAACCATTTACTTCTGTTATAGTTCTAAAAATATTCCGTGTGTGTGGGTTGGTCTTTGTCTCCTGAGTATATATTGTACTTTATTGTGATATTTTGTAATTGATATGCTATTAGAAGAGAAAAATAGAATCAAATAAAACACTCATGTAAGGGACTGGAGACAGTGACCAGTGGTTAAGAGCACTGGCTGCTTTCTAGAGAATATAGGTTTGATTCACTATAACCACATAGTGGCTCACAACTGTCTGTAACTCCAGTTCCAGGGGATCTGATGCCCTCTTCTGACCTCCAAGGGCATGAGAAATGCTAGTGGTGTACAAACACACATGCAGACAAAACATCTATATACATAAAATAAAAACAAAACACATACATGCACATAAATAAGCAACTCAAAACTACAAATGGGAAAAAGGAGAAAACATAAATAGGCAATAAACAAAAGGAAGAAAAAAGAAAAGCAACAAATAAATAGTAAGAAAATATAGTAAATATGGAATTAACCCAAGTATGTTAATCTCTCTACATGGCAATAGTCTAAATATACCAATTAAAAGATACACTGTCTAATCCTTAAAAAGATTTTTTGAAGGCCAGTGGGATTTCTCAGTGGGTGGTGCTCTTAGTACCAAGCTTGAGCAACCAAATTTACCCAGAGCCCACGTGGTAGAAGTAGATAACTAGCTCACACAAGTTGTCCTCTAACCTCCACATATGCCAAAGCATGAACACACTCACACACACACATGCACACAAAATATGTAAATTTTTTAAAAATTGAAAGCAAGATCCAATTATATGTTGTATACAAGATCTTCCTTTAAATATAGAGGTACACAGAAATTAAAAACAAAGGGGCTAGGGATTTAGCTCAGTGGTAGAGTGCTTACCTAGCATGTACAAGGCCCTCAGTTCAATTTCCAGAGGCAGAAGGTGGGGAGAGAGAGAGAGAGAGAAAGAGGGAGGTAAGAAAGAAAAGGGGAGGGAGAGAGAGAAAGAAGAAATGTGCTAACACAGAGGTCAGACGTTGACTTCAGATGTCTCCTCAATTGCTTCCCACCTTTTTGCTTGTTTTCCTAACAATTTCATACAGGTACAGAACATACTTGGTCAATCACCCCCCCCCCTGATTTTTCACCCCCATCATGTCCTCCTTCCCCTCCACACTCCTTCTGACCCCTTTTTCCTCTCGATTACTCCCTCCTACTTTCTTATCTTGTTTGCTGGCCACTCACTGGGTCTTATTTTCTTCTTAAAAATAAACAAAAGGAACTCTGACTACCAATCTTGAGAGTAAGTAAGAGACACTGCTGGAAACTGCGGGAAAAGTTTAGTAAATGAAGCAAGCTTTGAAACTTTTGCCAATTTGAAGTCAGAACATAAAATCAGAAAATATTTTAAGTATTTTCTCTTTAACTGAGGGAAGATAAGTAATATGAGGCAGGTTTAATAGTTACAATGGTGCTATTATACTATTATTTATCACAAATCTTCTGTTTGAGGGTCAGAAGAGCTAGCTAAGGCTAAAGGCATGGCACAATGGTAAAGCACTTGCCCAACCAGACCACAAAACAGAAAACGGCAAGCTGCTAATTAGAGCCAGACATGAGTGATGTTACCACTCTCTCAAGAATGACAAATTCCACTGCTAGACGTACAAAGTGAGGAACGGCCGCTAGACCTCACTGGTTTAAAGTGTTCAGTGGTTACAGGAGAACACACTGGCCCTGAAAAACTGTCCAAAGATCACAGTAAACACCCACGCTACACAGCAACATAGCAGGTAATTCAAGGAATCAAAGAACCTAGATACAAATTTTAGATTATCAGACTCCAGGGAAAGAAAATTTCCCATCACCTTGTTAGTAACTGTGGTGGTTTAATCTTCACTGTAAACTTGAATGAGTTGGAATCACAATGGAAGCACACCTCTGAGAATGTCTACAAGGGTGTTCTTATTGGAGGATGCAATGGCAGTTGTCTCATGCTCCTGCCATAATGGACTATGCACTCAAACTGTGAGCCAGATAACCATTTCCTTCCTGAAGAGGATTTGTCAACTATATTACAACAATGAGAAAGCAGTTAACGTAGGAGTCTAACTTCAAGTGAACAAATTTCAGGACAGAAAGAAGTTTTTACATGTTTCCTATAAAACTAAGATAAAGGGGTCCACAATTCTCAGGACTCACTAATGCCAAAATGCTGTTGTGATTTATTATGAAGTCACAGAATTAATCTAGAACCTCCTATACACTCAGGCTGGATTTGCCATTGGCTTTTGCTTATTTATATTCTTAGATCTTTTCTAAGATCAGGTTTTCAGGTGTGTAACTTACCACGGTCACACTAAACTGAATCCACATAAGAATGATAGGTTTTAAGTTTTGTTTGGAATATTAGCAGCTATAGTATCTCTAGGACTGCACATCTTGCAGTACTCACCAAGGTCACCCTGGACTAACCTCTGCATATGATACATAGTACAACTAACGAGTCCAAATGGACAACAAATGATAAGGTTTTGTGGTAGGGGTAATACAGGAAACCTTTATTTGCACATAAGGAGGTAGATAAGCAACAATATACCTCCCCTAGGACTGAGGGAGTAAACCTAGGGCCTTGAGTGTTTGGCAAGTGCTCTAACCACCTAAGCAACATCCAGGCCCTCTCTCCTTACTCCATGTTTGAGACACAGTCTCACTATGTTGCCTAAGCTGGTCTCAAATGTTCCATCTTTCCTGCCTTGGCCTCCTGAGAAACAAACTGAGGCTGCAGGCATGTGCTACCACTCCTGGCTTACCTGTATTTTTGACCACTCTCGTCTTCTTCCATTCCAGAACTGCACAGAATTAGCAAAAGTCAATACAAAGCCAGGAGGTTCAGAGGCAGAAACATTTAGCCAGCATAAAATTCTTAGACTTCTTTACATTTTGTTGCTCCTAAGAGGGTCTCCTAAAGGCTAGATTGTCCTCAAACTTGCTATGTAGTCAAAGATGGCCCGAAATTCCTGATTCTTCTGCCTCCACTTGCCAAATGCTGGGATTTCAGGTCTGAACCACCATACCTGGCTAACTCCTTAATGTTTTTCTTTTAAACTTGAGATTAAACATGTACAAAGTATCCTAGAAATGTCAATCACATTCCAGATACTAGTTAAACCTGACTATTCACGCCCATGAACTTCAAGCAGAGACAGACAGATGCCAAGATAACTTTTAATGTAAAGAACATGTATAATACCAGCACTTCAGAGACAGAGGCAGGAAGACCTAGAATCCAAAGCCAGTTATAGCTACACAGTGATTCTGGGGCCAGATCAGGCTACATTACAACCCCATAGCACAGTGTGATTGGTTGGCATGCACAGGTGTCTGAGTTCATTCTCTAGCACCAAAAAAAACAACAAAAAGTTTATCCTTCAATACAGCTCTGCAAATCTACAAATGGTATAACCTGGGGAAGGAAAGAAGGAGAACTCTTTTATGATATCTAGATGAACAATTTTAACCTTGTAACAAACTAACTATGGTATCCTTTTCTTTTTGTTACAGATTAATAACCATCTCACCAGAAATTAAATTCTAACTCTGATGCCAAAAGATTCACTGATAATTACTTCCAATGAGAATTCTATCATTCTGACAGAATTTTCACCAAAAGATTTATCAAATGTAATACACAAGGATTTCCTGGAAAGTATCAGAACCTGCAACATTCCTAGTAATTGTGACCTGCTATGCAAACTATGCAATAAGGTACAATTATTAAATAGGCAAACCAAGTAACTGACACAAAATCCTACTAATCAATAGAGTGATGCTAAAGCTACATCTCAATATCTTTCTTTTCTATCATATATACATATGTGTGACAATAATACCATACAGCAAATCTGGAAAAGTATAAATCAAAATGTTTGTAGTTATCATGTTTTTCTGAAGGGTCTCTTTCTTTCAGAACTATTTTTTAATTTTCCTACAATGAGGACATGCAATAAAATTGTTAAACCTATTGATGACCAAGAGTAGATGAAGACAGAATGTGTTAGAGCTTTTAATCTTTTGTTGCCTGGAAATACCTAGAGATAAAATGATTGGATTATAATTTCCCCAAGCTCAACAGAAGCATATTAATTGAGTCTAGGTGTAGTGGTGAACATGCCTGTAGTCTGAGCTATTTGAGAAGTGGTGAGAAGTTTGCTTAAGACCATTCAGGGACAATATAGTAGGCGTCTCAAAAACTAAGAATTAAGATAAGTGACTACTGACAAACAGGTTTAGTGGCTACTGTTAGGAAGATATTTTCACAGCTTTGAGACCAGGTACCATTGCCATTTTAAAGCAAAAGGCTATTTGGTTAAAACCAGTTAGTGTTATTTTTGTTTACTTATATATGTGCCTTTCTAATATTAATATGCTTGTTTTCCCCTATGTTCCCACATTAAGTCTCCAGCTCTCGGACTCCAGTGACACACCTCTTTAAGCCTACCAAGTGGAGGGAGAGCAACCCTGAAACTATGCACAGCTCACAAGTGCTTTTTGAAAACATCCAAAGCACATGCACTACCTTTGTATTTTAAATACTAAAAGTACACATAACCAAAGTAGAAGCTAAAAATTTTAAATATTTACTTATCTAAGTTAGAGCCTACCTTCCTCTGTCTGCAACAGAAAGTTTGCCCAGTTATAAAAGCTTGTTCAATTATAAAGGTAGATCACTTCACAAATGTGTTAAAGGAAGCTGATTACATCCCCAAGGAAATTCTTATTAATAGTTAAGTTTCTACCAGGCTAATCAACAATGAATGCCTACATAATACTAACAGGTGAACTTTCCTTTAAAACTAATTTACAAATGCCTGCTTCTCAGAACACTGTATTCTCAATTCTGAAACGAATATGG